GCTTGCTCAGTGCAATCTGATAAGGGAGACAGGGATAAGTGTCAGAAAACCAACAAGATTACTGTCATTTCTTGAAACTTAAACAAAAACTGAGATCACATAAAAATTTCAGCTGACTGTGTGGAAAAAATGTCTGAGGAAAAATGAGCATGCTTGTGTCTGCCAGATCAGGCTGCCTGTCTCGCATCAGACCTGCTGCACTATTGCCTGACATTCCTGCAGAAATGGGTCCTACATGGTGGGGAATTAACCTCCATTACCTACACGCCTTGTGAAAGCATATTTATTAACAAGTAAACTACAGAATCCCTAAGCTGGTGTTTCTCACAGAAGGGTCCCTGTGGTTACCTGCATCGGGAATCCAGAGTGCTTTATAAATGTTGATCCCAGGGGTGCAGGCTGGACCTACCAAACTTGATGATTTCATGGTGTAAGGCCCAGTTTGCTTGTTTGGATTTTTTCTGGGTCAGAGTCTTACTCTGTTGCCCAGACTGGAGTGTAGTGGCACGCTCACAGCCACCTGCTGGGCTCAGGTGATCCTTCTGCCTCAGCCTTCCAAGTAACTGGAACTACAGGCACGTGCCACCATGCCCCACTCATTTTTTGATTTATTGTAGAGATAAGGTCTCACCAAGTTGTCCAGGCTGGTCTCAAACCCCTGAGCTCAGGCAATCCTCGGCCTTCCAAAGTGCTGGGATTACAGGCTTGAGCCATCACGCCTGGCCAAGGCCCAGTTTTAATAAACTCTCTAGTTTGGAAAGACCTAGAAGGTATTTTTCCAACGTACAGCTGATGATGTGAATACTCTCTAGCTATTCAAATCACGGGATTCTCCAGCAGTTTCCTGCATGGGTAACTGAAGCCAAATTAAGGGCCTTGCCTGCTGGGCAGTTGCTCGAAGCACACATCATAGATGAAACTTAAAATATTCCTGGAATATACAACCGCAAATTGTGTCTACTTCTGTCAGAGTAGATAGTAGGCAAAAAACCACGTTATTAGCCTCAAGCTGCCTTCATTAAATATATTTTTAGACGAGTACAAGATGGCTGTCAGCTAAGATGTATGATTCAGTGTTTCTTATTTAAAACCAGTTATTCATTTTATCTAAGTTTTAAATCTTATAATAATTTTTAAAAAATAAAACAACCTTTATTATAGTTAGTGAACTGCTAAATCTCTCTACTGATGTTCTTAATGCAGAGTTTTCTTTTTTTCATTCAGCATATGTTTATTAATAAATAGCACTACAATGATTATTAGAAGGAATGCATCACAAAACTGTCTAATGTGTTCTTTGGAAAATTGCCAAGATCAAAACAAAACCCAACAATAAAAAAATGCCACTCAATAACCAAAAACCCCAGACCTCCAAAACTCCAGAAATAAGTGTAAGAGTTACTTGAAAGTGGGAACTGTTTTGCTTAAATTTATCAGAAAATGGACTCTGACCTGGCCAGCAGAAGTAATTAGGGAAGATTCTGCTTCAACACAAGACATTGATTAGCAGAAAATTAGTTTCACCTCATTCCACTAAATACATGTAGAACAAAAGCTATAAAATATTGGTTTGAGGGAGTGCAAAATAATTGGCTTGTCTAAGTTGCCATCAACCTTGGCTGAGCCCACAGGTAATCCTGACTATGTGAAATTATAGAATTAAATAACTGAAAAAAGTTTAGTTCCAACAAGTATTTTTTTTTTTTGAGTTGGAGTGTCACTCTTTGTTGTCCATGGTGGAGTACAGTGGCACGCTCAGGGCCCCTGCAGCCTCGACCTACCTGCTGGGCTCAGGCAATCCTTCTGTCTCAGCCTTCCAAGTAGCTGGAACTACAGCCACACACCACCATGCCTGGCTAGTTTTTGTGATTTATTGTAAAGATGAGGTCTCTCCAAGTTGCTCAGGCTGGTCTTGAACCTTCGGGCTCCCAAAGTGCTGGGATTACAGACTGAGCCAGCACACTGGTAGCTAACAAGTATTTATTGATTTCCAAGGGAAGAAAAAGTTTTTGCCATCACTGAGTGAATAAGAGTAAGACAGATATTAAGTAATTAAAAATATTATGATATGCTTTTTTAGGTGAGTCTTGTGTGTTGACACTTATGACAAAATGTCTTCAAAATTCATGACATGTAACACATACAAAGAACATATTAAAATGCCAGTGCATACAAAATGGAAAAGCTTAGCTCTCTCAGATTCCATTTACTTTGAGTTTTAAAGAATACAAATATTCATCAATTTGTACATTATTTGTTGTCCTTTACTACTGTAAACAATACATATAATTTGGTTTAAAAAAAGAATACAAATATTAGAAATGTGACATATAAAAAAAGAAAAAATAAATAAATAAATGTGACATACTAAGACTAATCCCAAGATTTCATAGTTTTTGTCTGAGAGACTATCCAGACTTTATTCCTTACTAGCTAGCATTGTCCACAAATCAATTATTTATATATTTTATAGGGCTAATGTTGGAGGAATGGTTAAAACATTAATATAGGCAAAAGTGCTGAAATGTTTTCATCATCATGAAGCTATTAGTCAAAAGTTTTGCCCAAGACCTTTTAATTGTTCACTTGTTTTCATTGTAAAAATCATCTTTTTTGCTTAAATAAATGGAATCAGTAATTTTTATCAACTACATTTTCTTTATTTATAGTATTATTATTATTTTTTCTCGAGTCATGGTCTTACTCTGTTATCCAGGCTGGAGTGCAGTTGCATGATCATGGCTCAATACAGACTCAAATTCCTGGGCTTAGATGATCCTCCCACCTTAGCCTTCCAAGTAGCTGGGACTACAGGCACATACCACCATGCAAGGCAAATTTTTAAAATTTTTTGTAGAGACAAGGTCTCACTCTGTTGCCCAGGCAGGTCTCAAATTCCTGAGCTCAAGTAATCATCCCATCTCAGCCTCCCAAAGTGCTAGGATTACAGGCATGAACCACCATGCCTGGCCCCTATTATTCTTATTACTAAGTTAGTACGAAACCATTGAATTAACAATGTCTCACTTTTGTATAAAAATGTGTTCCTGAAATGCAGTGGTGTTCATCCTGAAACATGCATGCTCTTAATCTTTGGATTTAATCTGGAAGGACAGATAAACGGTGTAACTAATATATAAATAGTTTTCAGAATCATGTTAACCTGTTATTGAGTACAACAAAAGCCTCTTTAATTCAGAGATGTAATCACCTGTTAATTTCTCTGATGGATGGTTTTGGCCTTTTCAGAATTTAATCAGCCTGATTTTCTGACCTGGAAGTTAGAGGCAGCATAAAATGTGCAGGGAAGCCCCATGTCAGAACTTGGCTATCTCCCAACAAGAATGAACTCAGAGGGATTTCTGCCTATGGATTTTTAATTACTCACATGGAGCTAGAAGGAAAATAATCTGGCAAAATCTATAGTTCAGTGAATAGGTTGCGTTTTGACAGACCAAGGTTAAAGTCCTGATTGTGTAGTGACAGGCTGTGTGACTTGGGCAGGAGGTAAAACCTCACTGTTCCTCCATTTTCTATAGTCTGGAGTCTACTTCCTAGACACGTGGTAAAGATTAACTGAGAAACATATTTTTAACTGATCTACCAATATATCATGAACAGAGTTGTAGAATGTTGCTGAAAAATAATAATGAAAAAGGATGATACATGTATGTACGTTCTTTAAAAAAAATTAAAAACGCTTTAAATATATACTATTAAAGAATTTACAAAGAAGAAACACACTTCTTTCAGAGCAATGCCGTGTGATGAGATGCTTGTCATTGATTTCAAGAAGTGAAACATGCGGCCAATGGAAGCTATTTGACTTTGGAGAACATGGTCTCTTTATTCAGCTAATGGGAGGGCAGAGGTGCTAAGGATGTGAGAAATGCTTAGCCTCACTGACCTCATTTTCCAAGACATAGCTGTGCTGGCGGTGAGATGGAGGAAGAAGGGCCCTTGCTGAACCCACTGGTTCACCCAGGATGCTGACCGCTGGTATGCAACTAGACAGTTTCACTTTCAGGGTCCCTAAGGTAAATGAGGTCTATTCCCACTAGTGGCTTAAAGTTCGCACAAAGCCTTCTCATGGGATCTGGAAGGAGGGAGTTCTTCTAGAGAGTGGGCTGGGCTCTAATCCTTCACTGTGCCAGATGCACACCTGGAAAAAACACAACCCTAGCTCAGGAGAAGTCCAGGAATGCACATCAGAAGGTTCACAGAAATGGGGCAAAGTGTGACACATTAAACACAAAGATGACATTGATTCTCATCTTCTGTGTGAATTCCTGGGGCGATTGAAGTGTGGGAATCAATCTCAAAGAGGCTTTGACCTCATAAATCTTGTGGTATTGGATTTAACTGGCTAATTGGAAACTTCAATTTGAGTGGAAAAAATAACTTGATCTTAGGTAAATCCATTCCTTAATTGTGGAGGGAGGAAGACTTATTGGTTTGCGTCAGGGGGGACGTCTACTACTGGTTATTTCATGTAGACTTTGAAAAGACTCCTTGAATTTCAGAAGCAGGCATAGCTGGATTGTGTCTTCTGAGTCATTTATGATGTCTCTTGTGGCTGGTTATCAATGAACCACGTCATTGTTCGGACTTGGCGCCCTAGCTCTGTCTTTGTGTTTGAGATGGAATCACCACAAATATTTGCCAGTTGAGTCTCCTGTGCTGACACAATGCTAAATGTTGGGGGTGCAAAATATGAACAAAACTCTTTGATGTTGTGGAGTTCACACTCTAGAGATGGTTGAACACACACTAACTTCTCATCCTCTCATGAACTCACCTACAATTCGTAAATTTAGCAACCTGTTTTGAGATGTAGTCAATGTGAATTAAACTTCTGGTACAAACTCACTTCTTTCCTGGAGTAAATGGAATGATACCTTTTATGATACCTGGTGGTTCCCAAAGATCAATAAAAAAAAAAAGTTAATGGTTAATGTTTGACTGAGGGTGAAGGGAGAGGCTGGGAGGCAAACCAGTAGGAGGGAGTGTCCCCTGGTAGATACTCAAGTCGTAGCAAGAGTCTCAACAACTGAATGGAAGGACATAACTTTTCACCACCGTTTTGTTAGTTACTTACAGAAAGGTAAGGACTGACATGTTTTAACTGTGTCAATAGTGTATTTCTTCCAGAATGACAAAATAGATTGGAGAGGGGATGCTTAAAAAAATTGCCAGACAAAATTTATTTCTTGAGATGGGCATTGCAGGGAAGGGAAAGTTGTTCCTGGTGTGACATTTTGCTGGCAGAGTACAATTTCTTTTGTGGTTTATTTTCATTAGTCTGTATTTTGCAAATTAATTTGTTGAAGTGGCTTTGGTTGAATCAAGAAATCAATGGAATTAAAAGGAAGATTGAACCCTCTGATGTTTAAATAGGTGTTATACCTATTCTTTATGACTAATGTATAAAAGCGCCTAACCTTAGGATAATCTGGGACTCTTCTAATACAGAAATTGAGGTTGGAATCGCATTCTCACAAAGTGTGTCATCTCTCAAATGTGGTTCTCAAAAGAAATAGAGCATTCTGTCTATTTCTTGAGAACAGGATTCAATTTGGAATTCTTAGTATTGTCTGGGGCACGGTGGAGAAAGGTGAGTGCAGAAGAGAAAAGAAGGCTTTTTGACATTGCTGAAATAAGAACTGATGACAGAGAGATAAACCTTCCTTCATGACTGGGAAAGGAAGGTTGAAGGGCATGTCATTCAGCTTCTGGGAGAGTTTTTGGGCTTGGTGGTGGGTGTACCACCTGCTAATAAGTGATTATCTTGGAATGTTAGGTTATGTGCAGCTTGCTGGTATCCTCAATGGTCCAGTTTTTGTGTCTGCCTTGGTATTTTTTCTTTATTATGAATGACTTTATAAGGACAGATGTTCCCTGTTGTAAGGGATGCCAAGCAGAAGATTGGAAGGACAGTTCATTCTCTTGCCTTTATTGTGTTCTAAAACTGAAATAGCAAGTAAGGCATTTGAAAGAAGAAGGAAACACATGTTTAGATGGAAGGAAAATGGACGATATTCAGCTCTTACCAGGAAACAAAATGAGTCCTGTACTGAGTGAGGGTTTATAGTGGATCATAGGGTATGTAGTTTATGAGTCCATAGGGTTGGCCAGATGGGTGAGGCCGATTTCATAATTTCCCAGCCAGCAGGCACTGAGCAGTGTTCTTCCACTCCCTGGACCTTAATATTTTCATCTATAAAACCAAAATGCTTGCCTAACCCAGTAGTTGTGAGAAGCAAATTAGGTAAGTTGGTAAAGAGCTTACATACTACATTGCTTGGCACATGGTAAACATTTAATGAATGTCAGGGCTCCTTTCCATGAGAAAATTCAAGTAGGTGACTCAAGTCAAACTGAGAAGTTGCTGTCTCCTTCTCTAGGAAAAAAAGAAAAAAATCAGTAATGCCACAAAACAACATCTGCCATTGCACAAGAAAGCAACTAATTCTATGCTAACAAAGAGGGATCCAAAAACATAAGAAGATAATAAAACCATCAAGTATTGCTTTATTTTTAAAATAAAATTATTAAAAAGCCCCTGGGACAGCTCCCATATAAGTCTTCAGGTGAGGTGCAGGTGTGGCATCCTGTGAAACTCACTGCGATGACCCCTGAAAAAAGACATTGCTGTTCTAGGCATAGGTTTCATTGCTAATACCTCCTCCGTCTTTAAAAAAAGGGTAAAATATATCCTGGCAGCCACTCAACCTCTTGTTTCGTTGTCAAAGGAAATATGTAGAAAGGAGAGTATGCTCCCACTTTTTTTCCATGTCAAGAGGGCTGACTCTGAGAAGGAAAGCTGGCATTATCCTTTCTCCAAAGGCCCACAAATAGTGCTTATGCAGATGCTGGTTTACATGGGTAGAGAGATACCTATTTATTCATTGGCATGACATTGCCTTCATTCAGAAATCTCTGGTTTTAAATTTAGAATGGAGCAGTTGTTCTGTAGCCTGCTCATTGGTTATCTAAATAAGGAAAGACACGCTGAATTTTGTTATCTACCTGTTTGTTACTTGTGTGAACAAACAGGAATGTTTACTTAGGTGTGAGAGATATTAATCTAATAAAAACAGATATCCACCCAGTGATCAAGGTCTTAATTATACTAAAGATAGTTTTTTCATGTAAGCAATATGTAAAAGACTGAGCTGTAGTTGGTTGTTATATATATGGTACAAAAAAACCCAAACAAACTTAATTTCTCTTAAAATAATGTGTAAGACTGACAGGGAATTCTCTTGTCCGTGATGGTCTGAGTCAATAATTTTCTACCATATTTGTATTATTTTAAAATATTAGAACTTGTAGTTCTTGAGCAAGGAACAAAGAAAATCAAAATGACAAATTTGTTCTCTTAATATTTGAACTAAAGATGAACATACCTTCCTGCCACAAGGCCATTTCGTCAAATGGCTCTCTGTTGGTCTCTGCATTCAGAATGACACCCCCTTCTCCAACTTCGCTAAGTTTCATTTTTGAAATGAAATACTTGCCTAATCTGATAGTTGTAGGATACTGTACTGTAGGATAATAACGGGACCCATGCTATAGCTTTGTTGTTTTTTTAGGTGAAGTAAGTTGTTCAAAGTGCTTAACTTAGCTTGCATTGATTGAGCATTTTCTATGTTTTTAAGTTTCAGTTATTAAAAAAAAATTCAGCAACCCCCTCAGGTCCCCTTCCACAGTGGAAGCTTTTCTGTCCTCTTGATAAATCCTGCTTTCTAAAAAAAAAAAAAAAAAAAATTCATGAATGAGATTTCATAATGGTATGGCACCCTTTATTAAGTAGAACTAAATTAATTTTCCCTTACTCTCCTACACATCCCAATTGTCAGTTATGATTTAATTACAGAAAGAAGAATGTTAGCCTGCCTTTCGTAAGCATGACTGCACATTTTTGTCATTAAAATTCTTGCTACCAGTCACCTTGTAAATGAACTAGTTTTGCAGCAAACATTTTTAAAAACAATTCTTTGTTGTTTAAATTCTATGGAATGAACTCTAAGTTAGATTTACTTCCTATTGTATTTCTAGGGCCAGAATGTGTTCCTTTATTATCTTAACAAAATGCTCATCTGTACCCTTTGCAGCACATGAAGAAATGTTGTGTGATATGCGAAGGAACACTTTGTCAAAAATAATGAAGCCAACTTTTATGAGAAACAGTGATTCCAATTCTCTTCAGGCTAGGGAAGACCCTCGGGATTTTGCTCTGCGAAATATGGAGGAAAGAAAGTTTATCCCCAGCATTCCTATGTGGGTATCTGAAGTGCAGACCTCCACACCTCAGGGAATTCAATGCTGGAGTCCTTACTGTCTACCAGCTTATGACATCAGGGAAGCACCCTGTGGGATAGCCATCTGTTTTCCCTTACATTCAGAGCTGGGACATCCTGGGGGACTCTGTGGAGAGGCCTCTCCTCCCGAGGTGACCCATCATTGCTTAGTCTGGGAGGGTGCTGAGTGGAATAAAAGTCAACCAGGAATGAGCATGACTGCATTTCTCAAATATTCTTTAGAGCTCATTATTCTTTTCTTTAATATGAATAATTAAGCTAGTCATTGAGATTGTAATTGATCATATATTTTTATACCACTTTAAGTCCAGGGAACCATCTCTCCTCCCATGAGCCTATCTTCCTTTCATGAACCTGTTAATAGAACAAGTACTCACCTCCAATTTTGCGTATGTATAAATCTAGCTTTTCATGTACTGAAAGATTGGCTTATCTATATTGTGGAGTTCAATGGGAGAAAAAATTGTTTAGGCTTGTGTGTTTATGTGTGTATTGGGCATGTGTGTCCCTTTCTCCCTCCTTCCCTCCCTTCCTCTCAGCTTTAAAAACAAACCATCCAGCTGCCCATTCCCTCCTCAGGTGGCCTAATCAGTCTGAAGTGTGAGGCAGCAGCCCAAATTTATGCCTGCTAGCTTGTTTCTAGCTTATTAATGGCCACTTTAATTGGGTCCTTAATTTATCAAAAGTGTCAATTGGTCAGAACCTCCTGTGGTTCTCTAAAGCTTTAGTGATGCAATTGGTGCCAGAGATTTGTGAGTCAGACAGAAAAGATGGGCGTGACAGATGTGAGCATTACTTGATGAGCAATAGTGTGAAAGAGATTTCCTTCTAGTCCTTATTCCAACCTCACCTTGCCTTATAATTTATGCAAGATACAGTGCAGAGGAAAAATAAATGGCACACAGGATATTTGGCATGATTTGGTCCTGGTGGTATGAATTCTAGTCACATTCCTTCTTGCCCCTACTACATTATGATAATTGAAAACAAATCTTGCAGCCCTCTCCTTTTGCACCTTCTTTGTTCTTTGGAGCTGTATGACTCAACCTTAGTGCTAGGTAAGTTATTTTAATTCAAAGTTCTTCATTTTTTTTTTAACCAAAAGAATAAGAGATGACTGATTCTTTTAAAGATTTGTCCATCACTAAGCTTTTTGCAAGGGGGAAAAAAATCAATGCTTATGTGTTGACTTGTAAATTTGAAGATCTGGGACCTAGAAATTTCCTGTCCTTACTCACATAATAGGGAAATGGCAAGACTATCTAAAAATGTCTTAAAGACGCTTGGAAGCTTTGGAGCCCAGGAAAAAAAAAAAAAGAAAAATCAGTAAAACTTTGAGTGGGCCACCTGGGATACCAAGGGCACAGGGTATCAAATAACTGAGTAAACCCCCCTTGGAGGCCACCCCTGTCCTGGGATGGCAGTGCCTTAAGCTATCAAGACCAGAGTTCCTTGGTGTGTTTGTTTACTAGGGCTGCCATAACAAAATACCATAGAATGGGTGACTTAAACAATAGAAACTTATTGTCTCACTGTTCTGGAGGTTGGAGGTCCAAAATCAAGGTGTCAGCAGGATTGGTTCCTTCTGAAGGCTGTGAAGGAAGAATCTCTTCCAGGCCTTTCTCCTAGACTTGTAAATGGCCATCTTTATGTTCACACGATGTTCTTTCTTTAGGTACGAGTCTGTCTCCAAATGTTCTCTTTTTCTAAGGACATCAGCCATATTGGAATAGGACTTACCCAAATAATTTCATTTTAACTTCATTATCTCTGTAAAGAC